TGTTGTTGGGAATCTTCAGCCAGAACTGAGTGATAAAATGTTTAGTCCAGTAAAAGTCAATTTAATTCATTTTGAGGAAATGAAAGAAAAAAGCCCAACCAAAACCAAACCCCAAATTCAGAAGCAAATTATTCTGAAAAACAGAATTCAAAGATCCAGAGAAAGCCCGAAAATTTTTCAGGAATCAGGCCCTTGTGTTTCTATTCACAGGTGTTCACTGAGGTCACATTTCCACAGGTCAGATTTGCAAAGAAATTCTTCATGTAGGTACCTCACCAGGGGCTAGGCTTTGAAACTGTGACAGTCAGATTTTTGAGAAGAAGGAGCTTTTCAGATCTGGACACATCTTTTGGCTTAAAATGAAAGCTGAGCATTTCAGAAGATAATTCTAGTAGAACTCTGCAAAACCTAGCCCATTGTACTAAACCCCAGCCACCAGATTTGATACATTTTTAATTCTTGCCCACAAAAGGAAGGCGTGAAGCACTGATCTGTTTGCTGGCTATGGAGCCAGAAGCTCCTGGGTATAAACCTTTATCTCTGTGACACAGCTCAGCTCACAACATCTTCCAGTTTTACCACAAGAAAATTTAGCTCTAAAGCATCAGTGGTGAGTCTGTTCTCATCAGCATCTTTGAGGAGGGGTATCAAAGTTTAAAAAGCTCTCAGCAGATGGAGCATTCACAAACATTTATTGGTTTTTCCAGGAGCACGTGGCATTGTTCAGTAAAGCAGCCCCTACTTTGAGGTTTGAAGTTGTCAGGGAGGGGTGACAATGTCACTTTGCTCAGTTGCAAGGCCAGCTCAGATGACAAGGGAGGGTACACTGAACAGCTCATGGTTTGGCAATCCAGATCTAACCTAATCATAAGCAAATTAAAACGAGGACATTTTGGAAGGAATAATTGATTCATGTGGATTTTCCAAAAGTAATCTAAAAAAGTCTAAAAAGTCTAAAGAAATACTTGATTATTTATTCATAATCAGTCTAATGAGCACTTCTTACAGTGGTCCAGGAGACCTACATGAGATTGACCTTGCCATTCCTCTTTGCAGAAATGTTTGAGAGGAGCTGAGTCAGTGACACTGTCGGTGTGGAATCATTCAGCAAGGCAAATTATGCCTTATTTGCCAATTAATAATTTAATTGTGCAATTTAGTTGCCTTTACTTGCCAGTTATTAATTTACTTGGAAATGGACTCTCAGGTTTTCTAAATTATGAAATGAAATGTAGTATTTTTCCATCTGAAAATAATGCCTGCCCTTTCTAAATTTTCTGCCCTAAAAGACATTTAACATAATTGAAAAGGTATCTGAGCCCAATAAAAAACTTGCATTCCTATTTTTAAATAGACAGAGTAGCAGCTTATCAATGCTGTTGTGAAACATCTTTAAAACCTGCTTGTGATACTTTGGAATTGCATAACTGCAGACTTAGGTTGTGTAATATACATTTGTCCACATCCTAAGTGAAGTGCAGAATTAAAGCAGAAGGTCTAACATGTTGAAGTAATTTTTAATGATGGGCATTTATATGCCATAGGGTATTTATTCTTTGTCATGTTCTATGGTCCTTGAGAAAGGTTTGAATTATGTAAAGGTGTTCTTCAATTTAATGCTGTAAAATTGATAAGGAAACCTCTTCAGGGGTTGGTTTTGTGCAGCGTTCACCATCCTGATCCTGATTCAACAAGGCACTGAAGCACAAGCCGAATATTCAGCCCTCAGGTAACACATAACCTCTTATGTGTCAGTAATATTGGAATAGAAATACACTTAGAACAGAAATACTGCCCCTGGCATTCCTGCTGAAGCACTGATAAGCTAAACAAAGCACTTTTCAAAGCCTAATAACCGGATGGGATTTGTAGCATAAACAATGCTTCTTGTTATTCACCAGTCCCCAGGGCATCTTCCTCACTTTGTTACAGATAAATTAGCAACAAATGAAATGCTGTGTGTGATTTCCTGCCCTACGTGTGCCTGTGTGCTCGCGTGCCAGTGTGAGCGCTGTCATTTATTATTTATCCAAGGACGTATTCACGTCCACAGTGTGATTCAATTACTTATTAAAGGTGCCAGACTGGCAGAGGCAGAAGCTGGAGCAGTTTGCTTTTCCAGAGAACGTGGTATAGGCAGTGACATCCTCGCCAGGATGTTCAATGCTCCACTCCAATGGACTTCCCAAATCTCCAACCATTTCCCAGGTTCTCTACTCAACATGTTAAATTCATAAAGGCTACTAACACAGATGTCAGTCCTGTAGTTTTTAGACAGGAATGTTGGAAAATGGTTTCAGTACATTAGGTCAGTCTGTTTCACCTAGACCACTCAAGCACTGAGACAGTACTAACTGGGGAGGAACAACTTCTAACTAAATAATAGCAAAAGATATTATTTATAAAGGTAGAATGAGTCCAAAAGATTGCCTCCGCTTTCATTTCCTTTCAGGAATGACCCAAACATTGTCCAGTTGATCTTCATTGAAATCGCAAGATTTTCAATCACAAGGAAGGATTTCCTTTCAGGAAAGGAAATGAAATCCAGGAAACAGAGAAGAAAGTAGAACAAGCACTCAGAAAAGGAGATATGATCAAATCAAATGCAATTGGTAAAAAAAACCAACAAAAAATCTGACCATGGAGTGACTTCAACCAAATAGGCTGAACTGCAGTGAGGGGCAGTGAAAAGGACTGAAACGTGCCAAAATTGTTTCCACTGACATCCCGAAATCAGGCAAGAAAGGTAAACAAAAAGACAGCAGTAGGAACTGAAGAAATGAACTGGTGCACATTGATGAGACAAAAATCTGAAAAGAAGTGATAAAGAGAAAAGTGAAGGAGATGACCTAAACTGCACAGAAATGGCCCAAACCTTGTCCAATTCATGCTCATTGAAATCGCAAGATTTCATTTCCTTTCCTGAAAAGAAGGATTTCCTTCAGTAGGGAAACTGAGATTTTATTTGGCCTAACTCACTGAATTTGACCAGAGAAAGACTGTTAAATAACAGGAAGGTTCCTTTTATATAGCTCCAGAATATTTTGTTGAAGATAATGAACACAGGAAAATCCAGACATCTGTGATTCTGTACATTAAATCAGTCAATCCATGATTGCCCCAGGCCAGCCATGCCTCTTGCCTTGCTGACATTTTGGTTCCAGTACATGCCTGAAAGTTGGAATCTTGGATCTGTTTTGTCTAAATTGTAGGTTGGGATTTTTTGGTGCTTGCTCTTTGGTTGGGTCTGTAAAGCACAAGTGCAGTGCCAGTACCAGTGTTTGCTCTTAATGAGCTCCTTGTTTTGGCTCTGGAGTTGGAGCTGGCAAACACTGCCATGCCTATTTTAGTTTGCACAGTTGAATAGTCCCATCAAAGCCAACAGGTCGGGACATGCCAACCACTGGCATTGCTGCATTATTCTCAATTTTACACATCCAGTCTCTTGATGTACTCCACAAAAGCCTGCCTAACCAAAAACAGAGGTACAGGGATGGGGCTGAGAGGTGTAAAGGTGTGGAACGCTTCTGGCACTGTTCTGGAGCAGGGCCTACATGATGGCCTTTGACACAGACTGAGGGGGTTTTGACTGAGATGGGCTTTTGCATGATGCACCCCCAGTGAATCCCATCTGTGACTGAATTCTATCCTGGAATGTGAGAGTGGGGGTTGGAGTGGGGGTTGCTGGACTCGTAGGAGGCTTCACAGAGCTCAGGTCAGAACCACTGTGCCCCTGGTTCCTGTTCACAAGCAAAACAGAGCAGCTGTTGGAGAGCAGCATGAAAGCCAAGGAGAAATCTCCAAATGCAAACAGAAGGGACAGACAAGATTAGCCTTTATCTTAAAAAACGATCCAAGAGCAAAATGCAGCAACAAAAAATATAATTGCAACCTCCCTGGCAGTCTGTCCAAGACAGGCTCGACCCCTGCTATGGGAGTTGGCTTTGGAATAGCCATAGCAAGAGAACATTCAAACATGAAAGAAAATGTGTTCAAAATTCTGAGGCAAACTGAAATCTATTTTCAAATAAAACCAAGAAAAATGACAATGATATAGAAATGATGGGAAATTTGGACTCGGTTTTGAGAAAGGAATATTATTTTATAACTTGGCTGTTAATTTTCCATTTTAAAATAATGAACAAGTTACTCACATTTCATTTGGTGAATCTTCTATGCTGGTAATAATGTTTCTGAATAATAAGATAATGGTATATAATTGGTATAATGGAGCATAGACTTCTGAGAATTATTTTGTTCAGAGAGATTAGAGATATTACCAGAATTAGTTTCCCTAGCAGTACATACCAGTACTCTGGTACAGAATCAAAGGGGTTACTTCTTCTTGGAAACTGAGTTTGTGATTTCCCCGATCTTGGAAAAAACCCCGTATTTCTGATCTTACCTGTGGATTAATCCCTGACTGTGGCGAGTACTAGAGGTATTTGGTGCACAATATTAAGTGTGAGAATATTCTCAGGATCAGAATCTGTATGGCACGAAACTGGCACACAAACCCACCTGCTGAACTGGTGCCTTAGGAGTCCCCTTTTCAGCACACCTGTTGGAACAGGATCTCAGTGTGTCACTGTCTTCATGACCAGCACATCTCTGCCATAGTTCATATCCCAGTGCTGCATTTTTGTCCTGGGCACAAACTGAAATTGTATCTGAGACATTTAATACATGTGAATTTGCAGAGGGGCTGCTGCCATGACACTGCCAATAGTTCCATGATGTCAATTAACGTCAGCTGGATAATGCTGGCATTGCCAAAGCCCACTCTCACTTGTGACCTTGTTCAGTAAAAAAAGATAAGGCTACTAAAATAGAAGTGCAGATATCAGTGAGAAAGTAAATGAAAAGGCAGAAATAAAAAAGCATAGATTGGAGATGAACAAATGTTAGGGAAATAACCAAGGCAGCGAGAGCGGGGGAGGGAAGGGTACAGTGCCAAAGTGGGGTTTTGCTGAACAGAAATGATGCTGTAGAGGTAAATATTTTATTCTGTAAATATTTTATTCTGTTCAAGTCACTGTCCTTAAAAGTTGCCAGTTCTGAGATGTTTCCCTGAAATAGTTGAGACAGATCATTCCTTAAGGATGTTACCGTTTCTCTCTTGCTGGATGAAGCCAAAAGATGCAATTACAAAATATGGTCACAGTATCTCTTGTAAATATAGGTTGGTAATTTTCCACCTCGGGCCTGCTTTGTCTCCAGTACAGCTTTTTATGGAATTTAATGAGATATCACAGATTTTGGTTCTGTGGCTCTATTTCCATCTTTTCTCTTTGAGTTTATTAATGCCTACCTCGCTGGCATATGATAAACCTTAAGTATTATTTGGAAAAGTAGCTGTTATTTTTTTCTGAAGCTCCTATAGTAAACAATATTATTATTCTGTATGAAAGGCGTGCATGCATCTGTACTTTATGTACACACTCACTGTATCACATGGGCTAAGATAACTCTATCTGGAAGTCTGCAACCAAGGAGCCCAGAAATGACTCGTCAAAACAAAATTAATTATAAAAGACTGGAAGTGCTGCCCCAAGCCTTCAGAGTTTTAATGAGATGACTGTTTCTTACCAGCATTAAATCTGTAGGGATAAGGAAATGTTCACTGAGTTAAGATGTGCTAAGAAAAGTGTAAAAAAGAGCATAAATGGCTCAGGAATTTCAGGAATCCCACTGGCTTAAACACTCTTTTATTTAAAGCAAATGTTCTCATAGTTGAATGACTTCCAAAGAAGGGCCTCAAGTGATGAAAATATTTCCATCTAATGTGAAAATACTTGAAAGATGCTTATTCCATGTGAAAATATTGCCACCTTTCAGAAAAGCCTGACTATGAGACTCCTTTAATGAAGATACTCTCAGGAAAGGTATTAATTTTCAGAACATACAAAATAGCCAGAATTCCTACTAATTTGATAATGAATAGATTTTAATTACTTTCATCTCCTATAGCAGCCAGGGAAAATATTTTACAAAACAGATACTTCAGTAAAAGAGTGAAAAATTTTACATTCATCATCCTGACATTGCTCCCTTTTCCCTCAGGGCTTGACTGACCTGGAAAGTACCACTGAGCATCTGCAGGGAAAAAGCAATAGGGAAACAAAACCTGTAGAGACCAGCAAGACACTGAGAGCCTTTGGCCAATCAAACAACTCCAGTTTACAGCAGTGGCTTTTAATTCCTATTTTATGATTTTTAGATGTTCAGTTATGCTGAATAAACTCCATTTAGTAACTTCTAAACTGGCCACATTTGGAGACTAAACAGTCAATGCTTTCATGAAAACAGAGTAACTTCCAACACACAGCTTGATTCAAAAGTGGCAGGAAGGTGCCAGCGATTGTGACAAGGTGTGAAGGGATGTGTGGCCCAGCAGGTATCAGAGCAGTTTGTATTGTGTAATTCATTGCACGTGTATTGGGAATTGATTTGATTCTGGTTTCTGCATCTAAAAATTCAGATGTGCCTCAGCATTACAGAACACCATGGGGATTACTGGATGCTTCTAAAGCTTTTGAAAGATGCTCAGAAACTTCAGACTTCCAGAAATCAAATCAACTGAGCTACTAAATTTGATTGGAAAGTGGAGAAAGATTTTTCTATCTTGTTTTCTAAAGGCGAGAAATGTGCAAGTACATGACTAACCACCAAGGGTCAGTGTTTGGTGTCTTTACATTCTGACATCTTTGTTGCCAGGTGCTTGGAAAATCCCTTTCAGATGCAGTCCTGTAATTAGGATTTTTCAACAGTATTTTTTAACTATCAGTGAGATGCATTATGCCATACAAAGTGTGGGAAAATTCAAGTGTCTGGATATGGGGCTTTTGTCAGCCAGCTACCGAGTTATGTCTGAACTGTTCATATTCCTGGATATAATGATGTAAATCCCATTGAAAATAATAAAAAACCTCCCTAGGAACTGCATTTTATTTTTATGAATAGCAATTAAATATTGTAGCAAATGCCATTCTTCTGTTTTGTTAAGAAAGTTAAGACAGCCCTCACTGAGAGATTGTCAGGTGCTTTGTCAAGATGGCAAGGGATGCACTATCAAGAGGAGTGAACACATTTTAAATAAGTTCCTGTTGAGAGAAGTAATTGAAACCTGACTTTAAAATGTAGTAACAGTGGATATCAGACATCAGGAGATGGAACTGCAGTCCTGGCATGAGGTGCAGGCCTGGCTGGCCTCCCCTGTTTCTGGGATGTTAATATAGGTCATAATCCTTGATTGGCACAAACCCAGAATGTACTGACAGACATTCATATAAACTGCAGCTCATGAAGAAATCTCCAACCAGGCTTAAAAAATAAACCCAAGCCACCTTATTCTACATAAGGCACAGAGATCCCTTTGTTCCCATTCTGCCCCATGGCTGAGCTCCAGGCACAGCTGCCCAGTGCTGGGATGTGCCCCGCTTAGCTGTGACTTGAAAGATGTAAAAACTGGGCAGATTCCTGTATGGAGCTGATTTTATTTCAAGGCAGATGCAACCAAACCCTTGCAGTGCTGACTCTGCTCTGTCTGGGTGAACACTCAGCCACCCAGAGCCCGTCTGACCTGGATGCAGCAGCCAGGAGCACACGGGTGAGGCTGATCTCTCCTGACATAATCCCAGATTACCCGACCTGCACAGCCTGCCTTGTTTTTACACAGATCTCAGCCTCACTCCTTGCCCTAGCCAGTCTGGATCACCCTTCCAGCACTGCCATCCCTTAGGAATAATCTTTTCTGGATGCTTCTGAATGAGGATCAACCCTCAGGAAAGGACATAAAATTATGGAAACTACAAAGTAAAGAGGGATAAAATAAACAAAAGCTACTAGAAATTTAAAAACGAGCAAAAATACTAAAAAAACTAAAATGAGCATGCTAAACAGTACAAATCCTAGCACAGAACTCTGGGGGATTTTACTGTAAAAACCTTTTATTCCTTATTCTATTTTAAATAAGGATTTTATGTTAATCTTCCATGGCAACCAAATCTCTTTAAGAACCTTTGGTGAAGGAAACAGTAATAAGGTTTTCAGAAATCCAAGTCCACTCTCGAGTGTTTATCAGTTCTGGAGAACACTGGGAGGGGAAATAGTTATGTAAATACCATCCATGTCATCACCACAGTTTTAACCTCTGTTAGGCAGAGTAGAATCAGTAACAGAAAATTAAAGGATGTATCTTGAAGAACAGCCAAGAAACAGCAGATGCTGCCTGCAGCAGTTATTATTCAAGTTATTCAGTCCACTCTTAGGCTGACCTAAATACTGGTGTGTTTAATGCCATCCCATACACTTCAGTAACAACAGGCGATATGAAAATTGAATCAGCTAAGAAAAAAAATAATGGTTCAAATTAGTAAAAGGGGTTGGTGGAGGGAAAATTTAAGTGAGTTCTTGTGCTGGAACAGGAAAGAGACAAAATGAACACATCTCCTTAGTGTAAGGTACTGAGACTTTCTCTGGAGCGTCTGAGGCAAGGTGCTACAGCAGACAGGATCCTGGCTCAGGCATCCACAAGTTCTGATCAAATAAGGCTAACCTCGTCCTATGAAACAAATAGAGTATTTTCTGGAACAGAAAAAAGATCAAACAAAGAAAAGTACTCGTACGTTTTAGCTATCATGTAGTGCACTAAGCAAGATGAAAGAACGTGTGTGGTGGGTTTGATGTGCTCTGAGGGCTGGATGCAGAGCCTTGGCTGCGAGCCCTGGGCTCTGCCAGGGGCAGGAACAGCTCACACCTCGCTGGCAGGTGAAGGCACTGCAGTCTGCTGGGCTTTGGGCAGCCTGAAAAGAAGAAATGACAATATGAATTGAGAATAGATAAAACTGCTGCAACCTTTCTCAAGCCATCCTTTTGGAAAGGGGCCTATCTTCCCACCTCTGTAAGAGTTAAAGCAGTTGCTCCTCACCCTCGTGCTTTAGAGCTTTCAATCCCTCACCTCCCCAGATAATTGAATTGGTATTTTCACCTCATATAACATTTTTAAAAAAATCTTAAATATTTTTAAAGCTATTTTTTATCCTGCTCTGAGGGCAATGTTCCTGGCGGATACAGGTACACTGACGTACCTACATCGTAAGAACAGGTAATTCTGCACGACGCCGGCAACTCTTCATCCGTGACCTCCATGGCCCGTCCGTGGCAGCGCTGACAGCCGGGGCGGGCTATGAAGAGCCAGCACCCGCCATGTTGGGACAGAACGGCGCCTCCCGGGCCATGCCGGGGGAACGCGGGGCCGCTCTCGGCCCAGGAGCTCACTCCGGGTGGGTGACACGATGGCGTTCGGCCCTGGCATCAACCGGGAGCGGGTGGCACAGCCCGGGGCGGGTGACACGATCCCGACTCGCCCCCTCACGGAGGCGGTGCGGCCGTGAGTGCAGCCCCCGCCTCCAACGGGTCTCACCGTGATTGGTGCGAGCGCGCCCCTCCTCCGCTGTGATTGGAGAGACGCGCTGTCACTCCCGGCCTCTGAGGGCAGGGGCGGGCGCTGAGTGGTCGGCGCTGGCGGCGGCCCCGCCCCCGAGGGGACGCGCGGGCGGAGCGGAGCCTCGGCCGGAGCCGCCGGAGCGGGGGCGGCTTAAGGGCGGGGGGGACGCGGTCGCTGCTGTCGCCACCGCCATGGAGGCGAAGCCGGCGGACCCGCTGCTCTGCGACAGCCTCATCCTCTGGGTGAGTGGCGCGAGGGTTGTGCCGCCTCTGGGGACCCTCGAGGGCAGCGAGGAGGCGCCAACGGCGGGGGTCTTTTCCCTGCCTCCATCCCTCCGTCCACCCCTCCCTCCGTCCCCGCCCGCGGGAGCAGGAGCTGCGGGTGGGTCGGGCACGGTCGCGGCTGTGGGGGCTGCCTGGGACACGCTGCTCACGGCCAAAAAAAGGGTCCCGCGGCACCCTCGAGGTGTGCGTGTGGTGGTTGGAATATCCCGTGGGCCCAAGTGCGGCTCTCCAGCGGAAACTACTTGGCAATTAACAGTATTAATAAATAAATGCAATTAATTTGAATTAATAGGCGCGGAAACCTCAGTGCATTTCATACTGGCTGGTTAAAGCGTTTATTAGTCGGGCACGCCACACCTGGGTGTGTGACGTTCCCTGTGCCAGAGGCACCTGTTTGGATCATTGAGGTTGAAAAAGATTTTTAAGGTCATCGAGTACAAACATGTTTATTAATTCATCAGTCACTCTTGCTTCCTCTTTCTCTCCAAGCTTCTTCTGTGACCTTGTAATTTTGGTCTTGCAGGTGCAGTGATTTTGGTGACAGGGAGCTCTGTGAAATAGAACTTGTGTATGAAATCTTGGCAGGGAAAGTCACGATTACCTGTGTGAAGGGTTTCTCTAGAAATAGCAGCTGTTTCGCCTCTGTGAAGTGTAAATCATGGAGAGAAGGAAGTGCTGTAGAGGCACTGTAGAAATCCACGAATGAAGCTGGTAAAAGTAACAGGAACAGCAGCCTCAGTAGGTGTTCTTAATTTCTGCATGGCACTACAGAAGTGTTGATGAGTTAAAGTCTGTAATAAATCACTGATAAACAATTCCTTCCTTTCTTCTCCTCCCTCCATTTTCCTTTTAGTGGCATTGCATTCTCCCAAGGTTTTGTTGCTCTCTAGAATTTTGGTGGCCTTATGCTGAGTATCTTTTATTATCTAATCTTTTTCTTTTTTTGAGCTCTTTAGTTTTGTGTTTTCCCCTCAATAGTCAGGTGGGAATAATTCCATCATGATTCAATGGCAAAAGAAAAACCACTATATTCCTGTACTCATTCACAAAATCTTGTCAGCAGTGCTGAACTCTTTTATTTTTCATAATTCCTGCTTTAAATATTTCTATCCTAATTGTCATTTATGGTATCCTAACAGTGCAATAGCTGTAATCATACCATGAATCTTAATGGAACCTTAACTGGCCTTAAACTGAGCAATTGTGTCAGTGTAAAGGAACACCCAACCCTGGGTTTTCTATACAGCACTCAGAAGATGCACGTTTTTAGAATTAGCACCCTGTTTCTCAGGCCTAGTTTGCAACTTAGAAACTGATTGTTAACACTTAACAAACACTTAGATGTGTTTCAAACATCCTTTCACAATTTGAACTTCAGTGTGAATAATAGGGAAGAAAGTGATGTGGGGAGAGGGGGATGAAGTGCTCTGTGTTTGGAGAGAAAAGGGTTCTGTAACTCTCTGCTTCTAATGGTTTCTCAGTTTGTTTACTCATTAATACAGCAAACAGATGCTTATGATTTTCTGTATTCTGCTGCCAGATCTGGCATTTTTCTATTTTTATTTTATCAAATATTAGAAAACATGCTGCATCCAGAGAAGAAACAGAAGATTCAAATAAAAATGTTATCTATTGTTTCTACAGCCCCGGTGTCATTGAATTTAAAGCTGAGGATTTTACAGGGAAAACATAAAGCAGCTAAACTGAATTATAGGGGTAATGTTTATGAGTATCCATGAAAAATTGATTTAGGTAATACCTGCTAAGGTGGAACTCACAAGCTACAGCAGAAATAATTTTCTAAGTTAGTTATTTTTCCTCTCTGTAGAGGGAAAGTTAATTGGATATTTTTCAGTGCTGTACTGCCTTAGCCTCCAAACCAGGGACTGGATATATGGCACCATCTTAAATTGGAAGCATTTTCCACTATAAATGCACTGCTTGGCACTGGCACCACTGGTAATGTTCATTCTGTCCAGTGGCTGACTTATTTTATTAATATACTTATTTTTCAGTATGGGAATGTTTATTTTTATTTTAAAATCTCTTTGGTTACTCTGCAAAACCTCTGTCCTTTCTGTGTATAATGTGGGTGTGAAATGGAAAAACTCAGCCCCTCATTATCAGGTGAAACTGAGGGCACACCTTTCCCATGTGGGTGGGCTGATTTCTGCTGGGCACTCTCAACACTTGTGTTTCATGTGCAAATGTTTGGTGGTAGAGCTACAAAATTAACTTTTTAGCTGTATATTGGGAGCATAATAGCTCTGTGTCTGAGAGCAGAACTACTGCTATAGCAGCAAGTGGCAGAGTGCATTTGGAGATGAATACACAAAATGGTTTTCAGCGTGAGTAGCAGCATATCCTTGGAGCTACATTTTGTAAAACTGAAAAAACGAGGAGAAAAGGAGCACTGCTACAGTCTTGAAGTCTGTGTCTTCTTGTTCCAACCTCCTCCCCTCGCCTGCCACTTTCATTGGTTTTGCAAGAACAGTTTAAATCTGTTTTGATGAAACGATTGGGCTGACATGAGGTTTGGAGAACCCATAATTAATACTTCTGCTCTCTCATTATTTCTAGGTCCTTATGTGTCTTTTAAATACATAGAGAAACCTAGACTGTCAGTCCTGCTTTTTACTTAATTTTAATTAGCAGTTTCTATTCTGGGAGATCATGCATAAAGCAGTGTTGCATGTCAGGGTTTTCTGAGGCTTTGTTTATCTGCTCTAACAGGCTCAGGTGAAAGGGTTGCACCTGTGCATAGCAATTTCCTTGCTTTATCAGGGGCATATCCAGATGGCAGCATCACAATGTTGTGCCATAATGGAATGTAAACCTGCATGCCCATGCTTGTGCTGAGGCTGCTGGAGTAGGAGAAGCCAGTGCTGTCAGGCATAGCAGCTTTGGGCTGTGGTGTTCCACTTAATCTTTTATGTAACCTACAAGGGATTACTGACTTCTCACTTCCTGTAAGACAGGATTTAAACCCACTTTTTAAATTAAAAATCAAATGAAAAAAACCTACTTGCTCTGCATATTTTTCTCTTGGCTTGATTGGACTCTTTTTGAAGGAAGCAAACAATTATTCAGAATTATGGTCACTCTTTATAAACACAGAGTGGACAAAAACTGCCTCAGATTCTCACAGCTGGAAACTGCTTTTCCATCACTGGTCCCAGCAGCTGGATTTCCCAAACATAAGGTCATTTACCAGGAGTTCTGAAGAATCTTATGTTGCACAGGATGTTTGGGAAAGCCTTCTTGCAGTGGGACAGGTAATTTAGGACACTGTAAATGCTGTGAGTTTAAGAAGTCAATTTCTGCAGTGAACAGGGTTTATTAGGATTTGTACTTGCTCCCATTCTATTCTGTTTTCTAGTAGTACTACTAATAAACTTTCTGTTCTGTTTATTGTGGTAAAAAAGACTTATTTTCCTGACTAATTGTGATGAACTAATTTGTGTATGGAAATGGCTCTCTCATCTAGAGTAACTAGTTCTGAATTGATTGTTTTTGGAGGAATAAAATATTGCAATTCTAAATATACAGCTAATTCTGTCAAAGTGTTAGCTATAAGCTTGGGGATAGTTGAAAAAATCCCATGATACTTAAAACCAAAGCATTTTAACATTGAGGTAATCCCATCCTATTTTTATTACTAAGTGCTTGTAGTAAAAGACTGGAATTTTATTTTTTCCCCCTCAACTTTCACACCTTAGTCTGATGCTATTTTTGTTTAAGTAGTTATGTCCTGAATGAACCACTGCAACATTATTCAAAGGCTAGATAAATATGACTTTAGTCTCCCAAGTTATCTTTCCATAATCTGCTTTACAATAGAAGGCCTAGCATGAAAAAACAGAGCGTGGGTGTTCATACCAACTTTTTAAGCTACCAGTCATAACAGTCACAAGTGTTGAGATAATTGGGTTGGCTTAAAGTCTGTGTGGTTCAAAAAGGATTTCAAGTAGAAAGACATCTTGCTAAATGCTTGTGCCTGAAAGAGGAGAAGGAAGATGGCAGCTAATTTATTGTCTGCTGAACTAAACTCAGTGTTTTTCTCTGTTGTAGCTACAGACATTCAATACAGCTGCACCCTGCAGAGATGTCCAGGACTTGACTAACGGGGTTGCCATGGCTCAGGTGCTTCACCAAATGTAAGTTAATTCTTCAGTGGAAGATGAGGGTTCAATTGCCTGAGGTTTTTGTGTTTGACAGACGTAGTTACTTTTAAAGTAGGCAAAAATTCCAAGTGGACAGTTTATGACAGAAGAGAACAGTTGCTGTTTTGGGGATGATACAATAGTTGACATGGTGGAAAAGGTGATAAGATATACAAATACTGCAGGATTAAGTTCATACCTGGGGATAATTGGGCAAGGATGACATTATCTTTTTCACCTTTCCCATCAGCACTGTTTCCATGCTTCAGGCTATACGTTCCTCTTTGGAATGAGAAACTAAAGA